CACCGATTTCTATTGGTTCAAATAAAATCATAATGCGCACGCGTAAGTTTTTACTGTTACAGCAAATTCAGCTATAAATCAAGATGTTTTCACTGATACTTCTTACGGCATACGTCCTTACTTCTTACTGCTTACTGCCTACGTTACGGAAGTTATAAATCCAGCTTTATAGTTTGATCCATTTTTCTTCCGATTCATAAAGTCTTTTTGATCATGGCAATTTTTTTTTTTTTTTTTTTTTATTTTACGGATGTGCGCACTCGCAAAGAAATGTCCTATCACGCTCGAGAAGCGGCAAGTGCGCGGAAATGTCGGTGTATGTTGGTCTTGAAACGGTTCAGGTTGTAACCTGCAGGGAAAACCGTCGCAGGGAGTTTATTCCACAGCGATGCTGTTCTCCAGAGATATGAATTCTGATATAATGAGGTTCTTGGTGCCTCTAGTTTGACAGTAAATTCATGGTTACCGTCTGTTTGACGGGTTCGCCTGGTAGGTGCTACTCTCGGTGGAATCATACGTGCCAACTCTTCAGAGCATTTTCCGTGATAGTACCTGTAGAAGAGAGATAAATCGCCCACAGATCTGCGATGTTCGAGACCATCCAAGTTACGAGTAAGTGCGGGGCCATTGATCAGCTTTATAACTCGTTTTTGCACGGTATTCAAAAGCATTAAGGTATGTTTGGGTGCTGCACTCCATATATGTGAGCAGTACTCCATAGTTGGTCGAATCTGGGCTTTGTAGAGTGTCAGCAATTGGCTTGGTGTGTACAGATGTCTTGTACGAAATAGCACCCCCAGCTTTTGGGAGGCCCTTTTAGCAATATCTGCCACGTGACTGTGCCAAGACATGTTGGTCTCTGCAGTAACCCCCAAGATGTTCAACTGACTCTGTAATGTGACAGCACTTCCAGATAGCATGATGTTTGGCTCACCGGTGCTGGTCTTTTTTGAGAACAGAGCTGCTTGGGTTTTCTGCGCGTTGAACTGTACAAGGTTTTTGTTACCCCAGTCCTCTATTATCTACAGGTCGTTATTTATCTGCGATATTTGAGTTAGTCTAAGATGATGGAATTCACGTGCGGAAAGACCTGTGGGCGGTATGAGTGAGGAGACTACATTGCCATCGTCTGCAAAGCAATAAAGTGGATTTACTGTTTTATCTATGAGGTCATTTATGTAAATCAGGAAAAGAGTTGGCGAAAGGATTGCTCCCTGTGGCACACCAGCATTTATTTAGTAAGAGTTGGAGTTCTGGCCATCCAGTGCAACATAAATGGATCTGTCCTTTAGGTAACTTTCAAACCAAGTGCAAAGTTTCAGCGATAATCCCATTGCTTTGAGCTTGTTGAGCAGATTTTCATGCCAAACTTTGTCGAATGCTTTAGATATATCTAAGGCAATTGTTCTTGTTTCACCCCGCAACTCAATCGCTTTTTACCATAAGTGAGTGACGTATGTAAGTAAATCGCCAATTGACCTATATTTTCGAAATCCGTATTGCTTATCGTTGATAATTTTGTACTTTTCCAAGTACTTGGTTAGGTGATTGTTCACAACTCTTTCCATTACTTTTGATATCACCGGAAGTAGAGCAATTGGTCTATAGTTTAACGGATCTGTCTTTTTTCCTTTCTTTGGAATGGGTTGTACTGCGGCAGACTTCCATGATGATGGATATACTCCTTGCCTGTAAGACAAATTGAATAATTTTGCGAAAGTTGGGGTGAGTTCGTTGGCGCAATTTTTGAGTACTATCGCGGGAATTCCATCCGGACCCATTGCTTTTTTAGAGATTTTCGTATTTCTCTGTGACAAAAGGGTACCTCTGGCATACTATGGGTAACCCTTTCAATGAACGGTGGAGTTTTTCCGTTTGGCACTGTTAGGTTGGAGTTGGAGGAAAACATTTGGGCAAGCATATTGGCTTTTTCCTCTGATGTTGTGGCTAAGTGATTATTTTTATCTGTAAGTGGTGGTATGGATGACTTGGTAAAGTTAGATCCAACAGCTTTTGCAAGAGACCAAAAAGACCTAGAACTACTTGGACAATTCAATGAGGAATATATTGCACTGTTTCATATGTCCTGCGGCACTTCCTCCCAGATTAATGGTGCGTCTTGTTGGAGATGAAAATGCCGATAAGTGTGCCATAGCTCAACAAAGGCGTCTAGCAAACATCAGGCCTATCATAGAAATCAATGAACTCACAAGAATTTGTGCCAGCTGCAACAGATCCATTATTAGGGAAATAAATGCACTTCAGCGAGATCCCGCTTGTTTGCGGCTCAATGTTTTGATGCAAAGTTCAAGCCATTCGTGTCTCATTTGCAACTCACCAAATGAACCCCGATTATCTACCGAGGCCAGGGTGAATATCTTTCTTAATAGGGACATATGTTCCAGAATATGTCAAAAGTTGTGCTCACCATTTGAACGGAAACGGTTTTCTTCTGCAAATAGTTCTGCCAGGTTTGAGATTTGTAAACAGGCCCTACGTAATTCCAGGTCGAGAGTTGCAAAAGTTTTTGAAACACTTGAGAAATACAGCTAATGAACATCCCAAAATTGATAGCGAAGATTATTTTTCTGATGCAGACTTTCAAAGCATCGCCCCTATCACGAAAGTTCAGTTTAGAAGTTTATATGATCTTTGCGATCCTATACCGATAGAGAATGGTTATAGATATGTTGCCAGAAAAGATCTACTGGCCTTTTTGTGCAAAATGCGACAGGGATTGTCGGATAGTTTCGTTAAGGCTATTTTCAATTACAGAAGCCGTCAAACTGCAAGTCTCGCGATAGCAACCGTGAGGCAATCTCTATTACAAAGATTTGTACCTCAAAATATTGGTTTTACATGTACCTCCCTTTGCGAATATACTTTACAATGAGAATCCGGGCACCCCGAGAGTTATTGCATATATTGATGGTACGTATTCCTATGTTCCCAAAAGCTCCAACTTCCAGACCCTGCGACAAACGTTTTCGATTCACAAAGGTCGTCATCTTGTGAAACCTACACTGATAGTAGCACCAGACGGGTATATTCTGGCAATACAAGGTCCCTATTTTGCCAACTCGCGAAATAATGATGCGGCTGTCCTACGAAATGAGTTTGAACGTGATGCCGAAAACATGAGGGAATGGTTCCAGAACGGCGACATTATTGTGCTTGATAGAGGGTCTAGGGATTCAATCCCACTATTAGAGGCGCTTGGCATCCAATATCGTATGCCTCGTGGTGTGGAGCGTGGACAACGCCAGTTGTCTACTGAGGATGCAAATGAATCCCGGTTGGTTACCAAAACCCGCTGGATTGTAGAAGCGCGAAATGGACACATTAAAAGCGTGTTCAAGTTTTTCAGCCAGACAATAAGCCTTCAGCATATACCACATTTAGGAGATTTTTACCGGATTGCGGGAGCTATAATTAATAGGTACCATCCCCTTATAGAAATGAATGGCTGCAATGCTGAGCTGGCTCAATCCATGTTGGAAAAAGCCGGTGAGGTTAATGTGGTTAAAGCTCGAGTTGAGCAATTTGGTCTGCAAGCGGGAAATGCTGCTTGGGAACGGCTGAATGACGGACAATTGGTGGACTTTCCGCGATTGAATATCGAGTATTTAAAAGATTTCACATTTGGTGTGTACCAAGTAACCCTAGCGCCGTCGTATATACAGGAAAAATTGCAACGAGATGGCGATGATGAATTGCAGGTAGATCAACTCGACCCAGAACCGGGATTTATTCGGGCCCGAATTTATTCCCGCTTCAGAAATGCTACTAAGTACCAAATATTGATTACTTATAGAACCGTTCAGGAACTACAGCAACATCCTGAACAAGTGGAAGAAGCAATTTTGGGACATTACTGCACTTGCAAACCTGGTGCAAGGACATTGGGTTGTTGTAGCCATATCGCAAGCTTGTTATGGTATCTGGGTTATGCGCGACATCAACCCAATGTGCACTATCCCCCAACAATCCTACTAGAAACGGTTATGGATATTGGAAATCGACATCAGCCATAGTAATAAGTCAGCTCCATTTTTCCATTTTGATTATTGAAGATACTCATATAAACAAAAATTGTACTACCAATGAAATAGTATATTTTTGCTAGTCCAAAGCATTCTCCTGGAAGACCCAAAGCAACAGTGTTTTGATTCCACTTATCACCGCATTTTTCACCTGTAGGTAATTAATTTTTTGATGTCATTGTCTATAAGATTTACCTATATTTGTGAGAGTACAAAAAGGCGTTTATTTCAAAAACTGTTCATTATTTGGCTTTGGCGCAATGATAACTTTTATTCAGGATATCGAGCTTGACACACTATCAAAAAATCAGACGATTTGACATAAACACATTTTCCGTAAGTTTTGTGCAGGGTCTTTTGTTGCCAAAGTGTCACACACACGAAATTTTTGCTTTTTTGCATGACATTGCTTATCACCCCGTATATCATGAAAATAGCTTTCCCACCATAAATGTGTGACATGCAGCCTAATCTAGAAGAGACGCGCTTTTGATTGCCGCAAACCGCGTTCAAAAATATTTATTTTTAAAAAAGTTGCAGCTGTTTAAAAATAGGGCAAAAAATTGAATGGACCGAACTTTGTGTTGACCAGTTTATTTATGTTAGCCGTTCTGTTCCAGGCATTTATGGATCAGTAAATGGTTGAATGAATTGTGTAACATTTCCTAGAGAATCGCGTCAATGATATCACAAATGTTGGGAGAGTAGCTAATGGGTAAAAGGGGGTTGGAAAAAGTAGCTTTTTTTTTGCAACAAGTAAGGTAAAGTCAAAATCAATTAACGTGTTCCAGCAGTAGATGGCGCTTCGTAGTGAGTGAAGGTTGTAGCACGAGCTCCTGCTTTATGGTGTCATTTTATAGTTATTGTTATAAAATCTAAAGTAATTTTGTGCCTAAGTAATACCTCAAGTTGTGCTCTTTCTAATAGTATAAAAAAGTGCCAGTTTTAGTGTTCATAATGAGCAAATTGAGCTTGCAAAGTGTTAACACACGCATTGATAAGTTGGCTGACACATTCCAAAGTGCAATGGCGGAATTCAAAACACAGCTGACTGCGAAGCGTATGTCCATGGAAAATAAACAAGTCGTCGATTTTGTGTCCGATGACTTAGTAAAGAATTTTGAAGACTTCCAGCTGTCTATGACTGAAGCTATGTCAGCGCTTAAATCTGATGTCCAAAAGTTGAACAGCGATAATCGTAGCTTTCGTCTGAAAAGAAATCTTAAGTGTTTGTTAGTCCATGGCATAGGGAAATCCGAAGCCAAGGTCGATTTGTACGAGCCATTGCTAAGTATTTTTAAAAATAAATTAAACATAGAAATTTCTATGAATGATCTTGATATTGTTTACCGCTTGGGCAAAAAAGGTGAGCGAAGAGATAAGAAGTTCCCTCGTCCAATTTTAGTTGAATTTTGCAGCCGGTGGAAACGCGACCTTGTGTTCAAGAATAAAAAACATCTAAAAGGTTCGAAAATTATGTTGACTGAATTATTAACTGATGATAATCTCATTTTATTTAAGCAAGCAAAAGAAAAATTCGGTAAATCTTGTTGGACCTATGGTGGGTTAGTTTACGCTGAATTCGAGGGTCAGCGTAAATTATTAAGAAATAAATCGGACCTCCAAAATTTGTGGTGAAGAAATGTGCTGTGTATAAAGAAAAAATAGTTAATCCGCTATTAGTGTTAAATGTAGGATTAACTGTATCTAACCTGTAAGTACTTTTTTTCTTATGCGGTTTATTGTGTATTATTGTGTCTTTTGGGTAACTTTGGATTTATTTTTTATTATTTTTTTAATATTGTTGCGAGGGTTGGTTTAAATGATTAATTTGTTGTTTTGTTATATACTCAAAAATGCATCATTTAGTGAGGGGCCTGCTCTCTTGCGTTTTTGCAGACTTCTCTTGCGTTTACGATTTGTATTTCATTTTATTTTTATTTTTGTTTTCATAACTTGTTAGGGGCTAAAATCTTGGGCGTGTATATATATAATAAACTTACTCTTATTGGATTATCTGTTGCTTGCTAGTTTTTCCAAAACGTTTCTTTTTTTTAAATTTTTTTATTATTATCTATATCTTATTTAGAAAGCTTGTAATTGTTAAGTGGCATATCTGCCAAAGAAGTTAAAATAATATATTTTATTGAGTTTTCTAATGACTGCTCAAATTAAATAAACTTACTTTACTAATATTTTTAAAATGAAAATAGCACACATAAACATTAGGTCTATGTTCACAGGATTTAATGATTTTGCTACAATTGTGCATCAAAATGATTATGATGTTGTTGTATTAAGTGAAACCTGGATTAATCAGGATGAATTTCCTCGTAATATTTTTAATATTCCTGGTTATAAATTTTATAATAAAAACCGAATATATTCCCGTGGAGGTGGGGTTGGAGCTTATGTTAAAACTGAATTTTCTACATGAACAAATTGACTCTTTATTTTTAAAAATAATAATACACAGAAAAAGATACGCCATAGGTGTGGTCTATAGACCTCCCAAATTTAACTTAAATGAGTTTGTTGGGTTTTGGATGACGCATTTTCGTTTGTCTGTAGCTCGTTTGATAGTGTCATTGGACTTGGTGATTATAATGTCAATTTTTTGCAGGCTCCAAATCTAATTATTGATTGCCTTGATTCATATAATTTAATACAAGCTCTAAAGGAACCAACGAGAATTACTCAGAGGACTAGCAAACTAATCGATCCAATTTTTGTTTCAAAAAATCTATTGGTTGAAAAATGTAGTACCATAAATGTGGACCATATATCTGATCATAGGTTGGTTTTTTGTGAAATTTCTAATGTTAGCGCAAAAATGACGCCAAAAATTATTACGTCTAGAGACTTTAGGAATTTTAATCGAGATGCTTTTATGAATGATTTAATGTTACACTCTTGGCAAACGTTACTGCTTGAACATGACATAGATGAAAAATTAAATATTTTTAATCAATTTATTTCCTCTACTTTTAATCAACATGCGCCTTATAAAACTGTCAGAGTAACCAAGCCTAGGGCGCCATGGTTGACAGTGGATCTGAGGAATTTTGTCTAATTTTAAGCGAACTAAAAATAATGTTGTCTGGATGAATTATAAAGGCCTACGTAATCAGGTGGTTGCAAAGCTACGGTCAAATAAAAAGCTATATTTAGAAAGTGTCTCTAGGGAAGGAAATTCTAAAAGAACTTGGAATGTGCTAAAAAGCCTTAATGTAACTCATAATTCCAATAAAATTTTTTTGCCATTCAATTTGTCCGATACTTACGAGGGGTGTACACGAGAGAGCGTTTTTAAAAAACTTTATTTGACTAATACAATAGAACTGACTTAAATCTAGAAATTACTCCTTTTATAATATTAAAAATAAGCTGAATAGAACAATATAAATGCTGAATTGGAGTTCTCACGGGATATAACTCCTCCATCCTAAGTTAAAAGCATACCAAAAAAGGTATGGTTTTATACAATGGAAAAAATAAAGAAAATGCTAAAAGAAAAATATGATTAAACTAAATAAGTAAAAGTAAAATTGTTAAATTACAATATCGTCTTCTAACGAGGCTTTTTGGGCACGTTTAAGGCGATGTTTCAAAAGTAATTTATAGACAGTAAAAATGCATAGTATTCCTAAAATACAATAAAGTAAAATTGTCCAAAAATTTATTTGGTGCATTTCCATTGGGTTAGATATTTCTTGTAGTCGTCTCTTCTGTTCTTGAAGAGTTGTGGCAATTTCATTGGTTTCCTTCAAGTTGATGGAGTTCAGGTCAAGTGTAGGTGGATTAAAAGCAAACTCCTTTGTTTGGTAATAATTCATCGATAAATTCAGTGTAGGCAAGGATACATCATCATAAGTCAAACGATTGGGCTTATAAGTTCGTAGAGTAATTGACTTTATTTGTAAGCTGCATTCATTTGTAGATTCGGCTAAGTAGGAACCATGAAGCGGTACGTTGTCCTTAGAATTTGGACAAGATGCTGAGACAATTAGTTGTTCGGGCGTTGTGATTATCCATTTTCCGTCCGTTATTTTAGTGATTTGGACATTTTGTAGTCTAATACGGAAAGGGTGGCAAGTAGTGGCATTTTCTTTGTATAAAATCAATTGGACTGCACATGGAGGCTCATGATCAATGTATGCAGTATGGGCTTCTTTACATAAGTACTCGTTGGGTAACAATTGGTTGCAGGTTTGGTCCATATAAGAGTACTTGTTGTTGCTAAGTGCAAGGTATGGTTTGTGTGGAAAGTTCATAAAGAAATCAGGATTTTGTTCGCTTGGAATTGGTATCGGAAATAATTGATAATAGTGATAGACATCCGATTCGACCAATGGTATTTCCAAGATGAAGGTGATAATCAGGCCCTTTGAATAACCTTTAATCTCGATTATTTTTTCGTAGTTCAATATGTTATCAATATTGGCTTCTAATGGTAACACGTCATGCACTAATTGTTTTTTAAATCTACAAATTTCTTTTATTAGCTCTAATGGATCGATTATTGAATTATGGAGCGTATTGATTTTAGCAAATGAGATAGCTACTTCCGTTTTTTCTAAGATATCGTAAATTGTTTGATATAGCATTGATATCTGATTAATTATTATGTGAGTTTGGAAGTATTGATGGTTGTCAATAGCAGACAGAGCTACCTTTTTTATTGTGCTTTCAATTTGCAGTATTCTCGATTTTAGCGTTATTTGATTGGCAGATATATTAGAGATAACGTTTTGAAACTGTTCAATGGTTTTCCCTAATAAATTAATTTGATTAAAAGATGATTTTTTAAGTTTATCTTGATTTTCTTGTAATTGTCTAATTTGCCTATCATAAAGATCTGCATCATCTTTATCAAGATTGCCAGTAATGCATTTTATTAATGATCCTAAAGGATTCAAGATGCCACGTTTTTGTCTTTTTGAGTAACTACTCGTTGGGTCAATTTGCCTTATGTTGTTTTCTATGCGTTTTTCTAATGCCATTAAAGGCAGCAACGTGTTTTTATATTCTCGTTCATAGGATACATTATTTGTAATGTTTTTAATTAAATAGTTAGCGTTTTCTTTGATCAAATAAAATTCGTTAACAAGGGGTGTTAGGTCGTGAATTTGTATTAATGACCAATGATTGGAAACTATTTTGGCAGTTCCCAATTTATAAGGTAGGAGTCCGGGATATTTATTCAGGTTATGGAAGTTTATTCCTACTGCTCCGATGTTGAAGATTCGGATCCATCTGTAACAATAGATTTGATTTTGGTTTCGTTGATATGCAAAATCTCTTTTCGATTTGTTTTGGGGTTTTCAATTTCAATCTTGTTGTTTTCTAATATTTTTGTTAAGATGAATGGACCTGTGAATCTGTGGTGTAATTTACCACGTCGTTTGTCTTGTTTTTTATATATTTGACACCCTATGGTTAGTTTTTGAGGGGTCTTCTTTTGATTATGTTTGTCAATAAGTTTTTGTTTTAAATTAATTGAGTCTTGTTGTATTTTATTATACAAAGCTTCCGTGTTAGTTTTGTGATTGTGGACATATTCGGTGAATATTTGCGCGGGCATAAGTTGCATAGGGTCACTAGAAGAAGTGTGTCCTAAAATCAATGTATAGGGAGTAAAGCCTGTGCTTGAATGGATTGTGCTATTATAAGCAATTACAGCATAGGACATTAGGGTTGATACGTCAGTGTTTTTGTTTTTTTCTCGTAGTATTCTTATGTGTTCTATCAGGGTTGAATTTAACCTTTCAACGGGCGAATTCGACTCGTGATGATTTGGAGTAGTAAAATGGATTTTAATATTATGTGTTTTCAATAAATCCTTAACTACTTCGTTCTTGAATTCTGTTCCATTATCGGATAGAATCAATTTAGGGATACCGAAAAATGAAAAGAAATGGATTAGATTTTGGGATACTGATATGGCGGTGCCAACGCAAGGAAGGGCTTGTCCATATTTGGAAAATTTGTCTATAATTACTAGGAATTTTTGTTTATCTACAAGGAGTGTATCGAGGTGAATAATCTCGAAGGGTTTCGAAGGTGTTTCTGTCAATACAAGAGGTTGGTCTGGTGGATTCCTGTTACACTTAGTTCTTTGACATATTTCACATCCATTAATAAATTTAGTGACGTCAGATTTCAGGGGTTTCCAATAATAATTAATTTTCAGGCGTTTTAGGGTTTCCTGTATTCCTCGATGGTTAGTTTTGCCTTCGTGTGAAAATCTTATTATCATTTCTCTTTCCTCTGGTTTAACATTATTAATGAGTTTTGTGCATTCTACAAGCTTGAAATTACAAAAGTGTTTAGATAATGCTTCTTGAAATAAAACACGTAATTCTTTTGATAAAAAGTGCACATAGGTAGTTTTCTCTGTGAGGTTTTCTTTCAGAAAATTTACTATCGCTTCTTGTTTCGTGGGAATCGTTGCTCGGATTATCCTATTACCGTCAAAGGTTTCAAATTCTCTTTTTATGTAGGCGTCGTATGGTGATTTTTTCACAATTAATTGATTCGTTTTGTTGTTAATTATTTCGTCTAATATTGGGATTTCATTTAGGGTTTCGTCTGCGTTTGTACTATGAGCAGTGTCAGTACTGGACGTATTATCCATTGGTGGTTTAATTCGGATATCTTCAAGAATTTTTATTCGAGAGGTTGAAGGCTCTTGAGAAGTTGAAGGCACTGGAGGTAATTCAACCGGTCGATTAAGTTCGTTTATGATTTTGTTATATTCGTCAGTGTGATGTTTTTCTAGAAGATTTTTATCGATTTCGTTTAGAAATTTATCGATGTCAGTTGTAATATCTCCTGGATTATTAAGGAGAGATTCTGTTTCTAAAGCGTTGAGTGGAATTCTTGAAAGAGTGTCGGCGTTTGTATTTTGTTTGCCGCTTTTATATATAATGGTGTAGTCGTATTCTTCAAGCTTTAATCTCCATCGAATAAGTTTTGAACCTGGCTCTTTAACATTGAAAAGCCAGACTAAAGGTCGGTGATCTGTATATATTTGAAATTTCCTTCCAAATAAATACGGCCTAAAGTATTTACATGCCCAGATGATAGTGAGCAATTCTTTTTCAATTGTTGAGTATCTCTGTTCTGTTTCATTTAGAGTGCGGGAAGCATACGCCACGGGATGATCGTTGGGGGGTGTTGATTGAGATAAAACTGCACCGAGAGCTG